TTTGTCCGGAGAATAAATGACAGGGGCAGGGAAGCGGGGTTGATAGGTCTTCAAATACTTAAAGGGTGATTGCAAAGAGGATGGAGATGGGTTTTTCTATGTGGCTGTCGGGGACAAGACTAGGTGCAAAGTCTCAAGCTGCAGCAGGGGAAATTTAGGCTGAAGATTAGGAGGAGCTTTCTATGATTGTGGTCAAGCACTGGAATAGGTGCCTAGGGAGGTTGTGCAATGTCCATCCTTGGAAGTTTTCAAGAGCAGGTTGGACAGTCATTTGGCTAGGATGGTTTAGTCGGGCATGATCCTGCCCTGAGCAGGGAGCTGGATTAGATGACCTTGTGAGGTCCCTTCCTGCTCTACTTTGCTATGATCCTATGTGGTGGGTAAGTAATAGTAGAGGTCTGGGTTCAACTCATGAAGTCCCTTCCAGTTTTGTGTTCCTGGTATGGCAAAGACGCCTCCCTCTGCTCAGATGCAGAAAGAGGCACAGACCTGTGTTGTTGATGCCCTGGCCTCCCAGGCCTTCCCCGGCTACCCTACAATGAAGTTGGCAAGTCTTTGCTGGTAAGGGTGACCACAGAGGAGCCCTTCCCCACACTAGTCCAAAGACAAAAAATTGGCCTGTGCCTCATTGGTATCCCTTACACAACTGCCTGTCCCCCCCTGTGGAAAGCTGCTGCTTGCCATCTATACATTACCAGTCCTCATGAGTCCAGGACCACTCGCTTTGCAGTTTCACAAATCTCCATGGCTGCATCCTCAACAGATGACCAACCACCACCCAACAGACCGGGAGCAGCTGGGTGGAAGACTTCCACGGGTGCCACAATACACTTCACTTGGCGGAGAGGCCGTGCTTGCACACTGTTCTGCCATTGCAGCTACCATGGGCAGATTTCTAGGGAAATGGCCTTTTTCTTCTTGGGTTTCTGCTTCTACTGCTGGTTTTTCCAGCTCTGAGTTGCTACGGCCTCTCCCCACCTGGAAGGGTGTCAGGGAGCCCAGCATGGATTTAATTGCCTAGTGGGCTGCACCTGCCTGGGACTCTGGCAGCCCTACCACAATGAGTGATGCCACCTGGCTCTGTCTCCCCATTTACCTCCAGCTGTGGAAGCAGCCAACACTTCCTGCTGAAGGTCTGCCCTGGCAAGCCCCCGTGATTAGGGACTGCCAGTGTCCTGGTTTGGTCCTGTTCCTGGACTCCGACTTTTGCATCTTCCTCTCGATCTGGTCTCTCAGGGCCTCTCTCCTGAATCTTGCCATGGTTCATCACTCAGATCCTGCCCCTGTATCCTCCCTTGGGGAACTCGACATCTGTCTCCTGAGCCTTGACGTGGGCTGTTTTGGACTCTGCCGCTGGATTTCCTTCTGGCTTTAGTAACTTGGTCTCCGACTCCTTCCTCCTGATGGGCCTGTGATTTGCCTCCTGTTCCCTCCCAGCAGCTAAGTCAAACCATGCACGACCCAGTTCACCACAGAGGGGTATTCTGTCCCAAGAGCCGCTTCAGATGCTCATCTTCATCTTCCTCTCCTCCCTCCATTACTGGCACTGACCACAGTATTAGAAGTGCCATAAGAAACCACCTGCAGGTCTCCAAATGCACGGGCCTGATCCTGTCTTGTAAACTGTTACGGTGCTAGGTGGCACGTCCTCCACACTGCCTGGCAGCCAGGGGGAAAATGGCATTTGCCAAGCTAAATGGACACCATCAAAAGGATTCTGGGAGTTTGATTTTCTCACCAGCCCCAGAGATCCTGTAGTTCCCCATAGACACCCTATAATGCATTATGAGAAAAAGCACACAGCGTAATGTTGAGAGGCAGAGCACTGCAGTGTGGCATGTATGACCTCAACACCCAGCAGCTCATTAGGAAAAAGGTGGAGCTGCGTGAACATCACGTTGATTAAGCTTAGTGGTGTGACCAAAGTGCAATACAGTCAAACTGTAGAGTGAACCAAGCTGGCTGATATTAAATCCCCCTGTAGACACGGCTGTGGGGTGGAGCTGGCGGTAATTACTCCTAAACAGCCTGACCGACCTTGAACCCATGTTGGGTCATTTCCGTAGACCTGCGTGAAGTGTGACCCATCTCGGAGGTGCAGGGCACAAATCCTGCCGTAGCTGACGGGGGCGCGATCTTGGGATAGGCTCCAGCACTGAGCCAGAGCAGCGTAAGACTGTGATCGTGTCATTGGAGAGAGGCACCAGATCCCCCACGTGCCTTGCAGAGTCCGCACGAGCAACAGCTAACCTACAGCACCTTTGCAATGTGGCTGCCTTCCAGTAGAAAGCATGTTAAGCTGCGCTGGACTCCCAGTGCATCGTCTCTGTGGGTGTGAGGGAGGGAGCAGTCGCAGAAGCCACCCAAGTACTGCGTAACCCAGTCAGCAAAAAGGAAGGTGAGCAAAGGCCCTCTCCCTCTGCTCTCTGCTGGTTGATTTATTTAATTTGATGACATTTGAAATTTATACCCACTGCAGAGAGTGGGTCCCCACTCTCCACATGTCCTTGCAAACCAGGCAGCAAAGCAGATGAAACTTCCCCTCCATCCAGTTCTTCTCGGAGGCCTGGCGTCTAACCCCCTCGGGCTTCCTGCTTCGGTCCAGGGACTCTCTAGCAGCATCCCATGGAGATCAATAGCACTGCAGTATCTCAAAGTGGGCTACAGTACAGAGCGAACTGCCTTGGGGACTGGCTCTCTGGGCGACCCCTCTCTGCACCTTGGCTTCCCTCCCTACCCTTTGCCTGCCTGGACCGTGCAGACCTGCACGTCCTTTGAGCCAAAGGGCATCTCGTATTCGGTCTCTGCACCATCCCTGGCCCAAGGGGTCCCGCAATGCCAGTCATTGCTGGAGCTTTGGGCGCAGACACGATCCAGCACAGCTATGACGGCAGCAGCAGAGGTTTTAACCGGTGCATGCCTTACGAGGGGCAGGACGGGGACAGATGGGCACGAAGAGCTAAAAAGGAAGGTGGAAGTATAAAGCATTGTGCTGTGAAATTTATTTTCATTTGCATTTCTCGGCCCCGGCTTGCTGTGCGCTGGGTTTCGGGCTCTCCTGTAGCCCAGCTCCTCCTGTCGGCGTCCTCAATGAAGCTACTGTCTGCCCAGCTCTATACGTATATGTGGGAGGAGCAGTCGGCCGAATCCAACTGTTCGTGTAGGTCCTTACCCTGCGTATAGGACTGTCACCGAATGCAGGAGGGGTACAGTCCCACTAAGGGGAATGCCTTGCTGGACTTGGTGTTGGATACGGGGGAGGAACTGGTAGGGGAGCTGCAGATTCGTGGCCACCTTGGGGACAGTGACCACCAATCAATCGAATTCACTGTACGGCGTAGGGTGGGTAAGATAACTAGTAGGGTGGAAGTGCTCGACTTCAGGAAGGCTAACTTCAGTGTGCTCAGGACTTTAGGCAATGACGTACTGCAGGATAGGAGTATTGGCGAGAGGGGCGTCCAGGAAGGGTGGTCGTTTCTAAAGGAAGCCAGCCTTCAGACACAGAGGGATCCCAGCGCGAGGGGAAAAGGGGGAAAGGAGACCGCTGGGAGGGGATCTTGTGCCTGCCTACAAATTCATTAGGGGGATGCAGCAAGGGATTGGAGATGCTCTCTTCACCAGGGCGCCTCTTGGGGTAACAGGGAGCAATGGTTGCAAACTGACAGAGAGCAGGTTTAGACATCAGGAAACACTTCTTCATGGTGAGGGGGGCCAAATGGGAACGGGTGTCCAAGGCAGGTGCTCTCCCCTACCCTGGGGTCTTTAAGAGGAGGCTGGATGTACACCTGGCTGGGGGCGTTTGACCCCAGTGCTCTTTCCTGCCGCGGCAGGGGGTCGGACTAGCTGATCTGCTCCGGTCCCCTCTGACCCTAGCAGCTATGAATCGATGCATCTGTATCCTTGTGTGTACGCACAAATTACAATAAACAGATCAGCGCAAACGGTAGCCTCGTAGGGTGTGTGTATAGGGTTATATACGTGTGTATGTGTGTGTGTGCATGGACGTAACCCAGGGATGGATGGTGTATAGGGGGGGGTGTGTGTGATGATCCATCCATCCTTGGATTACAGACACACCCTCTATATGCAAACAGTAGCCTCATAGGGGGTATCCATAGCTATATCATATCTGGCTACCCCCATGAGGCTACTGTTTGTGCAGATCTAGTTATTGTGACTTGTATGTGTACACACACACACACACACACACACG